ATTATAATGTCGATAGGTAAATCGTGGATTAAAACCGAACCAACCCGCAATTTATGGTTTGGTTTGGTTCGGTTTGGTTCGAAAAATAAAATGGTTGGTTTGGTTTGAAAAAATTCCAAACCGCATGAAATTTTTTGAGTTGAAAATATGATACAAATCGTCCAAATCGAACCATGTTCACCCCATTGTAAACGAGCCCTCAGAAATAAGTTTTAACTCAATTGACATGGATTTTAGTCCGGTGAATTTGACTAATTTTAAAGAAGTCAAAGACAGTAAAATGTAATGCATTTGTATCAATCTCCATATACACATACCAGTATTTCCCCTCTTCTTTTTCTAATAATCCTAGAACCACCATCTTATCTTGAACTGATGCACTATTACCTACAGAAATTTCAAGATTGGAGCCATTTTAGTCTATTTGTTATCCCAAATTCAAATAATCAAAATCATATTTATAAATCAAGCAGAAAACTTGGATTATAGCAAATCAACTTGTTTAGCGCGCACACACTTCTGTATGAAATTAAAATGAGACCTTGGATCCTTCTATGCAAATTGACCGAATGAAGGTCTAGGGTTTTCAAGAACGAGAAATAGGCTAGTCAGGGAAGGTGGATTGAAAAACGCCGTAATCAAACATTGTAAAACTCAGCGACGGAAAGAAGAGAAGTTCTTCCAATTCTAAATTGAACGGAATACCATTTTCCTCCGACACATATGTTGAAATGATAGAAGAAGAAAGGCTTTCATCTATGATTTTTGCATTTATTAAAAAAAATTGGGCCAAGGCGAGTGATGCCCTTCTAATGCTTGGCCAGAGGCACGGGCCTCACTCGTCTTGCCCGAGAACCGGGCTTGTTGGTATTGACTCTGTGTGGATCGACTTAATCTGATGATACTTACTGTTTGAAAGGTTTTATTTTTTGAGTTTTTAAAATGTTATTGAATGGGTTTTGATTCTTACTAGACATTTGAAAATCATGGAGATGTTGACTTCGTGAAGAAATTGAATCGGTGTCCACGATTGCACCGGCGGCTGGTGGTCGGTGTGAGGCTGGGGGTGTTGGGTGGGATGGCGGTGGGTACATGAAAAATGGCCATATTTGAGAAAGTTATTGATTTACAAAAGGGTGTTTTTGGGGTATTTACATTATAAATGGTCATATTTGCAAAAATTTCGAAAAATGACCATTTTTATAATGCACTATAAGTGTGTGTTTGGTAGGGATTTTTTGGGGGAAGAATTGATTTTGAATAGTGATATGATGGGAAATGTTTGGTTGAAAAAGAAGATAAGATTATTGATGTGATAGAAAATATTATTTTATTGAAGAATGTGTGGTTGAAAATGAGAATTGATTTACTGTTGAAAATGAGAATTGGTACCAAACATAGCCTAAATTATGACTATATATCCGAATCCCCCAAATAGATAAGCACCATGGTTCATGCTTATTCGCTTTATTTTTTTAGTTGACCAATAAAGTTACAATCTTGAAGTTATAACATTCAACCATATCAACCTTGACGACTCTCTAAGAATACAATAAATCTCGTTAAAAACTTTAGTTATTGGAGAGGAGTGTCTGAAGTTATATTGGCACTCGACAGTTGCAGTCGTACCAAATTCTACATTAAAATGCACTTGACCTATTACAACACAATTAACATAAATTTCTGAGTGCACATTCTTCTTCTCTCTTCCTCTTGTTACTTGATCTGAAATTGATGTTTATCCTCGACTTCTTAAAGAGAAAGAGATCAAGTTGACACTCATAGAATTTGTCCCACTCCACCTTTAGTACTGTTACTGGA